CCCCACCCCTGGTTACAGCTATCATAAATAACAAAAAAAACTCTGCAGAGGATCTGCTTTTTTCTCTCTTCGTTTTGAAATTATATATTTTGAAATAATATCTCTGAACATTTAAGAGATGCTGCCCCCATAGTCATACATGGTTTTCTGCGTTAAGGCAGCCAGCATTCCAATGTGTTAATGTTGCCCCTCAATTTGCCTCATCATGCTTGGAGCTGATTTCTAACTATGTATCCATTAGTCTCAGGAGGAAAAATTCTGGTTTCAATTGAATATTAATCTTTAATCTTTAATCCCAAAAGAGTTGTGCACAGCCTCAGGGGCAAATGGCTATCGTAGCAATGCAACACAACAGCCATGAAGTTACCACGCTCACGAGCAGCCACCCGGCAAACTCCCTTTCCAGCTGAGCACAGCGCCATTCATCGACCTAGGGGTATCACCAAGCCATGTGAGCACCTGTTCGCCGCCGCCCGGCTTGGCACCTTCAAAATGCCAGTGAAAGGCGCTCTGCACGGCTGGAAAGGAGGGTGGTGTGAGCGGTTGTTCCACTCCTGCACCCGTGCCTCCCAGCCTTACGATGCTCTGGCCCAGCTCTCTCTGCAGAGCCAGGGCAACTCTGCTGCCGCTGCCGCCGCCACATGGCTTTTTGGGCGGCTTCCAAACCGAGTCTTCCAGCAGTAGCCGCTCTGGGCATATGCTCTATGGTTGTGAGCCAGCTGCCGCAGAGCATACAACCATAGAGCGTACGCCGAGACTGGCCACTGCTGGAAGACTTGGTTTGGAAGCTGCCAAAAAAGCCAGGCGGCAGCAGAAGTGACCTAGGTCTGCGGGAAGAGCTGGGCCAGAGCATCGTGAGGCTGGAAGGCATGGGAACAGAACATCCGCTCATGCAACCCCCCTCTCCAGCCATGCAGAGCGCCTTTCACTGGTATTTTGAAGGTGCCAAGCCACGGGAGCTGGGTGGCAGCGAACAGATGCTCACGCAGCTTGGCGATACCCCTTGGTCAGTGAATGGCGCTGTGTCTGGCTGGAAATGGGGTTTGCTGCATGGCTGCTCATAAGCATGGTTGCTTCATGGCTGTTGTGTTGCACTGCTGTGACAGCGCAACACAGCCATTCGCCCCTGAGGCTATGCCCAGCTCTTAGGGAGTCCGCTTGGAAGAGAGCAGCCTCCTGGCAACCCCAAAACAATAAACCCTCCCCTCATAATAAGGCCCAAGCCATATTTCATGGGTAAAAAGAAAATAAGACCCTGTCTTATTTTTGGGGAAACATGGTAATAATCTTATTTTTTCTATCTATAAAATGTTTTTGGGAACAGCCTGAGTTTCTATCAATTTCATATTCTCACTGTGGCATATCTAACAAAGATTTCTGAAAACTATTGTATGTATGTATGTATGTATGTATATGGCTACCTTGCCAAAATTAGATATTATATTTTAGCCAGTGTTTAAATGGTACATTTATTATCAAATCAGGTATTGTGTGAAACAAAAAGATCATCTGAAGCAGAACATTCATCTTTATCACAGAAATTCTTCCCAGCAATGGCAATTGTAGTTTCTCCCATTTTGGAATGTCCTTTTTAATTTCATTTTATATCTCAACAGAAATACTTTGAAATAACATACAATTCGTATTTGTTATAGCAATAACTGCAAATTTCAAATTTTTCTCACTTTTAAAGCTAGTTTTTTCCATCAATTTTATTTGATCATCTATTTTCATATTTTTGTTAACATCATCTTCTAATTGTTAATTTTAAAACCTGCTAGCATATCACATTCTCTTAATTTTTCTCTTAATATTTTTATTCCCATTAATGGATCCTCAAAAACCAGCACCAAATCTTAAGAAAAAGCTGATAGTTTTGTTACTTCTCCATCAATGAATTTGGTGTGCTTTCTGTGAGATGTACATCAATCTTACCCATTTTATAA